AAATAAGATTACCCGTTTCAGGGCTGAGGGAGTTAATCGATATTGATGGTGGTGAACAACAGCTGTGTTGGCTTCAGGGACTGGAATTACGATCTGGCCCATATAATCACTGTCAGTTCAGATTCCAGCGCTGAGAAAGGAATTACCCTTGTGTGGAAAATTTCAGGACACAAAACCAAAGCTTGTGGATTTCTGTTAAATATTAGGATGTCTGGGTATTCAATATGAATGCAAACATAATTAAATTTTAGCCAACAGTTCTAAAAAAAAAAAAAAAATTCATTTTAAAAGCATTTCACAAAATATAATTGTGAAAAAGTTCCGTCTCACCTTTATTCTTACTGGATGTTTCTTCATATCAAAAGGAAAATTTTCCTCTCCACTGTCGCTACAAGCATGCTTAGTGTGAGGGCTGCATTCGAGTCAATAAATCGATGCAATAAAATGGTTATCTGAATCACTTTGACTGTATGATCTGGTGAACAATAAAGTGCCTTGACATGACATGTGTTGTGTATTGGCCCTATAGAAATAAACTGAATTGAATTGAACTTTGCCTCCTTGAGAATATGGAGTGAATTTTGTTTTATTATTTTCTTAAGCAAAGAACATAAAATGGAAATTTGAAAAAAACTGCAATCCAGGATAAGAAGGGTAGGAAAGTACTTTTTGTATTTATTTATTGTATCGCTTAATTTCTCTTTTTTATTCTTATTATTAAAACTTTATTATTCTTTTTTAATGGTTTTTATAGTTTCAAATTGCATGTTTTCACTTTTCTCTTTTTCCGACCCAGTTTATCAAACTGAATTCTTTTCTAATTGCATTTCACACATTACATTCTATTTACTTCAATGCCGATACTTAAACCCTCCAACCAACCAATGAAAATATTGTTGCTAACATTCATGCAGATCACTAGAAACGCTTCTTTGTTAGCTCCTCGTTTAAGAGGATATCCGCACCCAGAAGGGAAGAGAAAGTGATCTTGAAAACACAGTTTGAGAACAACGCAAAACTCAATCTAAAAAAGGAAGTTGTTAAAAAAATAAAATAAAACACTTTTTAAATATTTAATTTTGAAAATAAACATGAAAAAAATAGAAAAAAATAAGTTGATTAGAAAACAAACAATTCAGAACCTTTTTTTGATCAAGAATTCTTTAGAAGTTTAATTTCTTAATTTAATATTTTTTAATCAAACTTTTCTTTGCTTGCAGGCTGCATAGTGGGTAGCACTGCATGCTTGCAGCAGGAAGGTTCTGGGTTCGATTCCCGGCTCATTGTATTTCTGCATGGAGTTTGCATGTTCTCCCTAAGCATGCATGGGTTCTCTCCGGGTACTCCGGCTTCCTCCAATAGTCCAAAACCACGACTGTTAGATAAATTGGTTTCTCTAAATTCTCCTTAGGTGTGAGTGTGTGTGTGAATGGTTGTTTGTCCTGTTTGTCTCTGTGTTGCCCAGTGATGGATTGGTGACCTGTCCAGGGTGTACGTCACCTCTCGCCCGTAGACCAGTGAAGAACACAGAGGTGTTGATTTATACCCCTTTGAACTATGGCCTGGTGTCTAATGTATCAGACATCCTTCCAGAGATCATGAAAAAACGCCCGACCTTGGAGAAACTCATCATACAAGCTGAAGCCTTGGGCGACGCAGCCCTGAGAAAATCAGAAATACTGAAAGAGGATTACATTCGTCTGCTTAATTTAGTTGATGGTCTTAATCTCAAGGTGTTTCTCAGCGGCCCTCACGTGCCCATTAATTGTGGAGATGAAATGTTTTCCAGAGTTCTGATGTTAAACAAATGGCTGGATGCAACATGCAAACAAACAACTGTAACGTTCATAGACAATTTTAACATCTTTTGGGAGAGGAGACATTTGTTCAACAGAGATGGTTTCTCTTTAAATAGGTCAGGAGCGAAACGGCTGATATCAAACATTTTCTATTCTGTGAACCATGCACCATTAGCTTTGTTCCAAAACAAAGTACAACCAGTGCCTAAACAAACGATAAGCCCAGTAAACAAGTTAACAAGAACATTAATAATACTCGCGCTTTATTTGCCACAGTCGACAAGCTAACAAATCCTCCTGTGTCCGTGGCTCCTGAACTCCACTCCACCCGGGCCTGCAATGAATTTGCTAATTTCTTTACTGAGAAAATCCTAAAGATCAGAGGATCAGTTTATACATCCATATCAAGTTCAGTACCAACGTTGTCTCCAACTGGAATTGATCTTGGCCAAATGTCCCAATTCAGCCAAATAAACTATAAAAGCTTAGAGGAAATCATTCAGCAGCTAAGTTCCTCCTCCTGCTGCCTTGATGTTCTACCCACAGCTTTCTTTAAGAAAGTTTTACCTGTCATAGCATCTGATTTGACACAGATAATAAACACGTCCCTTCTGTCAGGTGTTTTCCCCGCAGTCCCTAAAAACAGCAAATATCAAACCACTGCTGAAAAAGAACAGTTTAGACAAACTACTACTCCAGAACTACAGGCCCATATCAAACCTCCCCTTTATCAGTAAGATTATTGAAAAAGCAGTGTTTCAACAGTTAAACACTTTCTTAGATATGACCAGCCGCTTTGACGTGTTCCAGTCAGGTTTCCGTGCTCACCACAGTACAGAGACTGCCCTTATCAAGGTGTTTAATGACATCCGTATAAATACAGACTGCGGAAGAACCACAGTGCTGGTACTATTGGACCTCAGTGCAGCATTCGATACTGTCGATCACTCCATCCTGTTAGAGCGCCTGGAAAACTGGGTCGGCCTCTCTGGTACAGCTCTCAACTGGTTTAAATCATACCTAAAGGACAGGGACTTTTTTGTGTCAGTAGGCAACTTTACATCAGAGATGACAAAAATCACATGTGGGGTTCCCCAAGGGTCCATTCTGGGTCCCCTCCTATTCAATATCTACATGCTCCCTCTTGCTCAGTTAATAAAAAACAACAACATCAGCTACCATAACTATGCAGACGACACACAGCTTTACATCGCCATGTCACCAGGTGACTTTGAACCAATTCAAGCACTGAGGAAATGCTTAGAAGAAATCAATGCCTGGATGTGCCATAATTTTCTTCAACTGAATAAAAACAAAACTGAAGTAATAATCTTTGGACCAATAGAGGAGAGATCTAAAGTTAGCACACAGCTTCAGTCGCTTCAGCTAGTAACCACTGATCAGGCCCGAAGTCTAGGTGTAGTGCTGGATTCAGACTTGAACCTCCAAAAGCATTTAAAGACAATTACAAGGTCGGCTTTCTATCACCTGAAGAACATTTCCAGGATTAAAGGACTAATGTCTCAGCATGATCTGGAAAAACTAATCCATGCGTTTATTTTTAGTCGAATTGATTACTGCAACGGTGTTTTCACAGGTCTGCCTAAAAAGTGGATCAGACAGCTGCAGCTGATCCAGAACGCTGCTGCCCGTGTCCTCACTAAGACTAAGAAAGTAGAGCACATCACCCCAGTTCTAAAGTCCTTACACTGGCTCCCTGTATCTCAGACAATAGACTTTAAAATACTTCTGTTAGTCTATAAATCTCTGAATGGCTTAGCACCTAAATACATCACAGACTTGCTATCAGTTTATCAATCCTCCAGACCACTCAGGTCTTCTGGCTCCAGCCTGCTCTGCATACCTAGAACCAGAACTAAACATGGAGAAGCAGCATTTAGTTCCTATGCTCCACTTATCTGGAACAAACTTCCAGAAAACTGTAAAAGTGCGGAAAGCCTGAGTTCCTTTAAATCAAGACTAAAAACACATTTGTTTAGGATTGCCTTCGACTGTTCCAGTTAAACAATTCAACAAAAACATGTTTTCTTTAATCCAACTGTTTTTAATATTCTTTTTTGTTTCTGCATTTTTTATTTTATTTTATTTGTTTTTTATTTTTTCCTACTTGCTTTGATTCAATGTTTTATCTTCCTGTATTTTAATCATGTAAAGCACTTTGCATTGTCTTTGTACTGAATTGTGCTATACAAATAAATTTGCCTTGCCTTGCCTTGCCTTGAAGATAGGCACCAGCTGCCCCCCCCCCCCCCCCCCCCCTTCTTGGAAAAGGCGTGAAAAAGCTTTATTCTGTGAATTTCTGATAACTTCGGTCTAATTAGGCAAATTGAAAATGATCTGGTCAAGAAGGCTATTTATTGAAATAATTGTCAACTAATTTAGTAATCGCTTAATTGTTAACTGGAGTATAGAGCAGTAATTATACTAAAATTAATTAAGTACATTAAGTATTATCATACTAAAAATAAAGTTTGGATCTGTCAATCTATCCAGAACTCCTCAAGAGGAAAAATTTTTGTTTCACCTGCTTTAATTTCATAAAAAATGTTAATCAATTAATTGGAAAAATAATCAACAGATTAATCGATTTGCAAAAAAATTGTTAGTTGCAGCCCTAATCAACACAACAATAATAAAGAAAGTAAGAATTTGTCTTCCAGTACAGGGGTCTTCAATGTTTTCCAGGCCAAGGACCCCCAAATTGATGGCAAGATGGAGCGGGGACCCCCTAATTATATATATTCTATGAAATTGTGTTATATCAAACTGGTCCTATAGTAACCCTATTATATATGGAATAATGTAATGAAAGTAATTTCTCCCTGGGATTGTTAAAGTATTTCTGATTCTGATTCCTGGTTGATGGGACAGGTGTTGTGAATGAAATGGTGCCCAGCTTGATAGAACTCCTGTGTGTCGCTGAATGTGTGCTTTGATGACTGAAAGACATCTTCTGCCTCCATTTATCTGTTTACTACAGTGTGTTGAATTCATGTCAATGTGCATTTAAAGACATTTCAATTAGTATTAAAAAAAAATGCAGGGGGAACATTAAAAAAAATCTAGTCAACCAAAACTTTTGCGACCCCCATGCAGTACCTCCGTGGACCCCTAGGGGTTGTGTATCCCCTTTTTGAAGACCTCCGTTCTAGAACTTCAAAAGTACAATAGGGACCTTACCAGGACACCCACCTCTCTGTCTCGTTCTACTTCCAGACCCGCCTCCAGCAGATTGGCTTCAAACTCTTGTCTGATCAGTTGCATCTCATGATCAGCGGCCTCCATCGCCCCGCTCCCTCTCGCCATTCCCAGCTCCATAAACACCTCCCCGACGCTTGCGTCCTCCCTCCGAAGGCCACCTCCTCCTCCAGCCAAGGCCTCAGAACTCGACGGCGGAGGGAAATTGCCGTTCGATACTATGGATAGCTCGTCCTGTGACACCGATGCAGTGGTGGGAGATCGTAGGGAGCCATGTCGCCGGTGATGAAAAACCAGAACATAGTCCACTTTCCGCTGCCCGTCGCTGAAGTATAGGCCTTCGCCGCTGGCTTGGGGGCTTGAAGGAGGTCCTACATCCTGTGAAAATAATCATCAGGGTGTCAATGAAACCTGTAACAACACTAACCTATAATAATAATAAAAGAATTTCAGAATATGGTCCAATATGGTCCAAAATAGGAAAACAAACCTTTATGCTTCAGGGGAGTTATGTAATAACTGAACAAACTTAAACATTTGATGCTGTGTCAGCACAGGCAGACACAAGTGGCTTTTGGCAGCTCCTCAAAAACAATAAAGTGAGAACCTTCAGCAGCAGAGTGGGCAGTTAGCTCACCTTTGGCTCTTTTAGTCTTTATTTAGACAGGGGGAAGTATAGCGGGAGACTAAACATGGAAGCAGCAAGAGGTAAAGCTTTACAAACACCATCCTGATGTAAGGATTTTAACTCAGTACTACAGAAGGACTAAAGTGTAGAGTATCTATGCTGGTTTGATTGATTACAGAAGGAAAAGGTGGGAAAACTGCAATTGACAAACATGACAAAGTATACAAGAAGCAGTTTAGTCATTCAACCCCTCTAAATGAAAAAACATTCATTGTTATTAATTAAGCCACCAAAGTTATTAAATCAACTTGTTTTTAAAGGTGTGGCTGCTTTCTTTAAAACATTTCTTTCATCCTGTGGTGGGTTTGGGATTATCAAGCTTTCTGTTTTCATTTGACATTAAAATATAAATGGATGATACAGATGTTTTTTCTATGTGTGGCATCCTGTTAAGACACTATGGACAACCATTATCTTCCCTGCACTGATAACTGGCTTAGTTTCCTTATTTTGTAAAAGTCTACATTACTTTGGCTCAATTAACCTTCAGAATGGTTAAAGCTGCTCATCCTTTTAGCTACATAACATTTACAATAGATGATTATGTGCATAGCAATGAACACCTACTCCAAAACACTGATGTAGCTTTAGGTGTTTGCAGAAATACAGTAAATGGAAGGCAGCAACTGTGACTCTGATTTGTGAAACTAAAGAGTTATTTCCGTCACTGATCTCTGTTTAAGGTGTTTGGTGACCCTTAGGTTTTCAGATTAGCCTTAACAAGGCTTAAAACTGTAACTTTCCAAATGGTATTTCATCCTGGCAGACAATAATAATTCATCTTTTAAAGAAAATTCCCACAAGCCCCAAGAAATTGCTTTTAAAATATAATGACTTTTTCAAACAATGGCTGAAATACATAACTTTGTGTTATCTGCGTGCAATGATGAATAAAAAACACAAGTCAGCATGCCAAATGGTTAAAGTGATAGATAATTTGAAAAATATTAACTCAACTCAGCATGCCAAATGCTTCAAGTGATTGACAATTTGATAAATATTAACTCAACTCAGCATGCCAAATGCTTCAAGTGATTGACAATTTGATAAATATTAACTCAACTCAGCATGCCAAATGCTTCAAGTGATTGACAATTTGATAAATATTAACTCAACTCAGTATGCCAAATGCTTAAAATGATTGACAATTTGATAAATATTAACTCAACTCAGCATGCCAAATGCTTCAAGTGATTGATAATTTGATAAATATTAACTCAACTCAGCATGCCAAATGCTTAAAATATCGACAACTTGATAAATATTAACTCAACTCAGCATGCCAAATGCTTCAAGTGATTGATAATTTGATAAATATTAACTCAACTCAGCATGCCAAATGCTTAAAATGATTAACAATTTGATAAATATTAACTCAACTCAGCATGCCAAATGCTTAAAATGATTAACAATTTGATAAATATTAACTCAACTCAGCATGCCAAATGCTTAAAGTGATTAACAATTTGATAAATATTAACTCAACTCAGCATGCCAAATGCTTCAAGTGATTGACAATTTGATAAATATTAACTCAACTCAGCATGCCAAATGCTTAAAATTATTAACAATTTGATAAATATTAACTCAACTCAGCATGCCAAATGCTTAAAATGATTAACAATTTGATAAATATTAACTCAACTCAGCATGCCAAATGCTTCAAGTGATTGACAATTTGATAAATATTAACTCAACTCAGCATGCCAAATGCTTAAAATTATTGACAATTTGATAAATATTAACTCAACTCAGCATGCCAAATGCTTAAAGTGATTAACAATTTGATAAATATTAACTCAACTCAGCATGCCAAATGCTTCAAGTGATTGACAATTTGATAAATATTAACTCAACTCAGCATGCCAAATGCTTAAAATGATTAACAATTTGAGAAATATTAACTCAACTCAGCATGCCAAATGCTTCAAGTGATTAACAATTTGAGAAATATTAACTCAACTCAGCATGCCAAATGCTTAAAATGATTAACAATTTGAGAAATATTAACTCAACTCAGCATGCCAAATGCTTAAAATGATTGACAATTTGATAAATATTAACTCAACTCAGCATGCCAAATGCTTCAAGTGATTGATAATTTGATAAATATTAACTCAACTCAGCATGCCAAATGCTTAAAATATCGACAACTTGATAGATATTAACTCAACTCAGCATGCCAAATGCTTCAAGTGATTGACAATTTGATAAATATTAACTCAACTCAGCATGCCAAATGCTTCAAGTGATTGACAATTTGATAAATATTAACTCAACTCAGCATGCCAAATGCTTCAAGTGATTGACAATTTGATAAATATTAACTCAACTCAGCATGCCAAATGCTTAAAATGATTAACAATTTGATAAATATTAACTCAACTCAGCATGCCAAATGCTTCAAGTGATTGACAATTTGATAAATATTAACTCAACTCAGTATGCCAAATGCTTAAAATGATTGACAATTTGATAAATATTAACTCAACTCAGCATGCCAAATGCTTAAAATGATTAACAATTTGAGAAATATTAACTCAACTCAGCATGCCAAATGCTTCAAGTGATTAACAATTTGAGAAATATTAACTCAACTCAGCATGCCAAATGCTTAAAATGATTAACAATTTGAGAAATATTAACTCAACTCAGCATGCCAAATGCTTAAAATGATTGACAATTTGATAAATATTAACTCAACTCAGCATGCCAAATGCTTCAAGTGATTGATAATTTGATAAATATTAACTCAACTCAGCATGCCAAATGCTTAAAATATCGACAACTTGATAGATATTAACTCAACTCAGCATGCCAAATGCTTCAAGTGATTGACAATTTGATAAATATTAACTCAACTCAGCATGCCAAATGCTTCAAGTGATTGACAATTTGATAAATATTAACTCAACTCAGCATGCCAAATGCTTCAAGTGATTGACAATTTGATAAATATTAACTCAACTCAGCATGCCAAATGCTTAAAATGATTAACAATTTGATAAATATTAACTCAACTCAGCATGCCAAATGCTTCAAGTGATTGACAATTTGATAAATATTAACTCAACTCAGTATGCCAAATGCTTAAAATGATTGACAATTTGATAAATATTAACTCAACTCAGCATGCCAAATGCTTAAAATGATTAACAATTTGAGAAATATTAACTCAACTCAGCATGCCAAATGCTTCAAGTGATTGATAATTTGATAAATATTAACTCAACTCAGCATGCCAAATGCTTAAAATATCGACAACTTGATAGATATTAACTCAACTCAGCATGCCAAATGCTTCAAGTGATTGATAATTTGATAAATATTAACTCAACTCAGCATGCCAAATGCTTAAAATGATTAACAATTTGATAAATATTAACTCAACTCAGCATGCCAAATGCTTAAAATTATTAACAATTTGATAAATATTAACTCAACTCAGCATGCCAAATGCTTAAAGTGATTAACAATTTGATAAATATTAACTCAACTCAGCATGCCAAATGCTTCAAGTGATTGACAATTTAATAAATATTAACTCAACTCAGCATGCCAAATGCTTAAAGTGATTAACAATTTGATAAATATTAACTCAACTCAGCATGCCAAATGCTTCAAGTGATTGACAATTTGATAAATATTAACTCAACTCAGCATGCCAAATGCTTAAAATGATTAACAATTTGAGAAATATTAACTCAACTCAGCATGCCAAATGCTTAAAGTGATTAACAATTTGATAAATATTAACTCAGCATGCCAAATGCTTCAAGTGATTGACAATTTGATAAATATTAACTCAACTCAGCATGCCAAATGCTTCAAGTGATTGACAATTTGATAAATATTAACTCAACTCAGCATGCCAAATGCTTCAAGTGATTGACAATTTGATAAATATTAACTCAACTCAGCATGCCAAATGCTTCAAGTGATTGACAATTTGATAAATATTAACTCAACTCAGCATGCCAAATGCTTCAAGTGATTGATAATTTGATAAATATTAACTCAACTCAGCATGCCAAATGCTTAAAATATCGACAACTTGATAAATATTAACTCAACTCAGCATGCCAAATGCTTCAAGTGATTGATAATTTGATAAATATTAACTCAACTCAGCATGCCAAATGCTTAAAATGATTAACAATTTGATAAATATTAACTCAACTCAGCATGCCAAATGCTTAAAATGATTAACAATTTGATAAATATTAACTCAACTCAGCATGCCAAATGCTTCAAGTGATTGACAATTTGATAAATATTAACTCAACTCAGCATGCCAAATGCTTAAAATGATTAACAATTTGATAAATATTAACTCAACTCAGCATGCCAAATGCTTAAAATATCGACAACTTGATAAATATTAACTCAGTTCGACTTGCCAAACATTTAAATTGATTGTACCTTAAAAAATATTAACTCAACTCGGCATGCCAAATGCTTAAATGATTGACACCTCAATAAGGTTCATATGTTATCTGAGTAGTAATGGTGATTAGTATCTGACCACCTGGAGGTACTAATAAACTGTATATACTGAAGGGCAAATACCTAAAGTGAGCCATGCTTTGATATATTTTAACTCAACTTGACATGGCAAGTGCTTAGTGATTAACAACTTGAGAAATATTAACTCAATTTGGCATGCTAAGTGCTTAAAGTTATTGCTACCTTGAAAAATATTAACTCAACTCGGCATGCTAAATGCTTAAAGTGATCAACACCTCAACAAACTTGATATTGTCATCTGCGTAATGGAGATTATTATCTGCCCACCTGGAAGTACTCATAAACTGTTATGTTGAGGGGCAATAAAGCTGAGCTCAAGATGTTGGGGCCGGCCTTAAGTATAGAAAAAGAGAAATAATATATGTTTTTTTCTCTTTCCTGATATACCAATTTGCACTTTCAATTAAAATAAGTGGCACATTTAATATGTATAATGAAGGGTCGTCATGAACATCCAACAAAATTCTTAAATTTCTTAATATGCATTTCACCTAAAAAGTTGACATAACATAACAAATCTTCCTAAACATATGAAACAGTATGTAAGGTATTAGAATAACAAATTGCTAAATTAAACGGATTCATGTTAACAGATGGAGTCCAAGGTCGCCTGCTACGAGTACTACTAGGCCATCATGAAAGAACATTTTCAAAATGGTGGTGGGGGAGTGGCGGCCTAGTGGTTAGGGCATAGAGCTTGGAATCCTGAGGTTCTGAGTTCGAGCCCCACTCCCACACTGCCACCCTAGGTCTCTGAGCAAAGTTCCCACACTGTTCTTCAGGCATTGCACAACGGCAGGCCATGGCCATTGAGATTGGTTAAATGTTGAGAGTTCATTTCATTGCTCTTTACCTCTGACAGTGTAATGACAATAAAAAAATATTGTATTATTAATAAAAAATCTATCAAGTCGGAAATATTCAACTTAAAAGGCTTTATATATTTTAAATATAACATTTCCTCATATTAATCAGCTATTGCCACTGAGCCAGAAACTGCCTTCTCTGCAGGACACATGCTCCCCTCTTAATTGAGCTCCTGGAACTTTCCCAAAGGACCTATGTTTGTTTAACGTCTTTTTTTTCTTTCTTCTTTTTGGAAATATGGAAAGTAGAGTTCTGAGAATAGTCTCATTTGGGCTGATCTAGCTGTTACCAAGAAAGCTTATGATGCAGAGATGTTTGTCCTTGCCAAAGCTTAAGGAGCCCTCTAGGGGGGTGGGAAGTCTCTAAAGGTTGGGTAAATTCCTATTAGGATTCTAAGCAGGACTTTGTTTTATTATGTCTTATGTTGAAGTAGCAAATAATCCATAGTAAACATGGAATTGGTCACTAGTATTATCATTTATATTAACATGAATAATATAAGGTAACAAAAATTATGTCCACTTTTTTAATAGAAAATCAATAACTGATTTATCCTAAATTTAAGCACTGAGGTTTAAAGATGGTTATTTCTATTTCATTCATCAGATTTGTTTTAGGTTGTAACAACATTTTTGCTGCTGCAGAGTGGACACTCTGCTATGATGCGTCCAGTTCTTCTGAAAATAGTTAAAAAGGAGGAAACATACAGTAGGGTGGATGTTTGTGTTTTTCGACATATTTTAAGGAGTGACAGGTATCTCAAATTATACGACGGAGAATTAGGGCCAGGCTAGAGATTTTTTTTCTTCTATTTCGACGTAAAATTACAAGAAAAAATTCGTAAAATTACAAGCATAAAGTCGTAAAATTACGAAAATAAAGTCATAATATTAAGAAAATAAAGTCCTAAAATTAAGAGAAACAAGTTACATTTTATGACAACTCTTGTTGTTGTATGATGACTTCATTCTCGTAATATTACAACTTTAGTCTCGTAATATTACGACTTTATTCTCGTAATGTTACGACTTTATTCTCGTAATATTACAACTCTATTCTCCTAATGTTACGACTTTATTCTCGTAATGTTATGACTTTATTCTCTTAATATTACAACTCTATTCTCCTAATGTCACGACTTTATTCTCGTAATGTTATGACTTTATTCTCGTAATATTACAACTCTATTCTCGTAATGTTACGAATTAATTCTCGTAATATTATAATTTTATTTTCGTAAAGTTACGACTATTCTCAAAATAAAATTTAAAAAATCCCTAGCCTGGCTCTACTACTCCGTCGTACAAATTACAAAAGGTTTAATAATTAAAAAATAAAGTAATGGCGAACTACAGAGACGAAACGAGGCGCTTTGGTGATAATCGCTAAGCTAACCAGAATGCAAAAAGCTCCCATACTTTTTTCTCTTTGTTTAAACCTTCAAATACCATTGAATCCAAAGATTCAATGGTATTGACACGTGAGAATATTTACAATCTAAAGAGTAAAGAGAAAGGTTACTAAGAGCCTACAATGCTAACGATGCTAACATTGGGTAACTGTTCTATTTGCTCAATAAAGTTGTTAAATAAAGATTTGAAAAATATCAGCAACCTGGTTTGCTTGACTACGGTAGGAAAGTGAGCATTATGACTTTTCAGACCAATTTACATAGCAATTAAGCTAACCCATTAACATTCAACCTCTAATTGGCCTTCGTAGTCAGCTCTAGCATCTCTGTAGTGTTTATTCTGTTAATGTAGGCATGAAAAAATGGTTCTGAGGCTTTAACAATATTAATAATATAAATATAATTCAGCACCTATCAAGAAACGTTGTTGACTTTTATTTCTCTTCAAGAATTACTCTTTTGTTTTTTGTGTGTTTATATAATCTAGTTTTCTTCTATTTTACTAATATTTGAAATGATCTCTTCACATTCAGTGCAGGCCTTTTTACGTTTGGATCTATTTCTATTAGACATCTTTCCCTCTTGTTTTAATGTTTTCTTTCCGTCTATGTTTAGCTCCAATCCTATTAATTAAGCACCACCCTTTAGTCTTCCTACTTTCATCCTGCCTCAGCTGTTCCACCTTGTCCACTGGTTAATTCAACTACTGTTAGTGTCATTCTCCACTCTTCCCTCAGTAAAGAGGTTCCCTGGTTATCATTGCTCCCTGTTGGATTTTTTTCCATTCTGGTGTCCTTCCCATATTCGTTTTACTACTTTTTAGTTTGCTGATGCCCCATTTGCTCAGCTCAGATTAGCCTGAAAGTTCTCCTTATTTTATACAACACAATACCATAACAAACAAATAAAAAAAGTACATTATATCTAATCATTTATGAAAAAACAAACTAGATTGAAAATGTGTACTTGCTGCAGATATTCATATTTGTGTAATAACATCTCAACACCAGAAGCCAACAATTATATGGAGTGTATTTTATTCCATTACTGTTTTAATCAAAGAACAAATTTTTTAATTAAGATTTTTTCTTTTAAAGGGTATTAAAATTTTTTTTTACTTAATCGACTTTGATGTTTCCTCTGATCTACTTTTTTCTAATTTTATTTTATTCTTTTTATTAAAGATTTTATATTGTTAAATATTATTCTTCAAACTTCTCTTTTCCAGATTATATTTTACAGAGAAGATTCTCTTCACTTCCGGTGACAGTTTTCGTCCGGAGTGAAGAAGCAAGTGGTCTGAATGGATGTAAACAACATTTTATTGGTAAAGAGAGAGTTTTTGCATTGGTCTCAAAGTGAAGAGAATGCAATTTGAAAAGAATGTAATCTCTATAACTTAATCTGATAAAGAGAAATTTGAAATGATAAAATATAAATTCTCAAAAATGTAATTTAAAAATATATATATTTTTTTGTAAAACCATTACATGTTTTAAAAGTTAAAACATAATAAATTCAAATTTTTGAATAAAAAAAAATGTAAAGCTTCATTTCTGGAATGTAGATTGAAAAGATAATAACAATAATGGCACAAAGTTTACTCCATACTTTTGCATCAGAGCATCTCTCAGATTTCTTTGTTTGATTTCAATGCAGTATGTTGTGTTTTTGTTGTTTTTACTTTTTATTGCAGTTACACATAGACACCCATGCTGACATTTTAAAAGTCAGATTTTAAAGAAAGTCATGACTAACAAAAATCCATAACAGAAGACGTTCTGGATTTTTAAATACTTTTATGACTAAACATTATTTGTTTGACTCCCTGTGGTTATGAAGATGCATTTTTTTTTTTTTTTTTAAGAAGAGTAAACAAAAACAAAGAGGATTTGGGGGGGGGGGGGGGGGGGGGGGGGGTTACTTACCGGGATCTTGTCCTCACTCGGGGAGACCTGCATGCTGTTGCGCTTCAAACACACGCAGAGTAGGAAAAAGAGGTGGAAAAGCAAGAAAAAAAGATTGAAAGTTGTGGTGTTTTGCAGAAAAACGCTGCAGGGTTAGTCATCCCCACCGGTTTCCCCATCATCCCCATTAAAAAGCAAAGCTGGCTCCAGTTAGTCCTCCGTCCAACACTTCATTTCTGCTCTTTGTCAGGTACTGGGAGTCTGATCTCATGCTGCTCCTCTACCCAAATGGGTGATGTGGAGGCAGCCTGCGCACCGACGGAGCTCTGCGCTGCAAAAAAAAAAAGCCTTGCCTCAATCTGTCGAGTTACTTTCACATTTAGGGAACCGATTCCAAATATTTCTTTTTTTTTAATCATAAAAAAAATACAAATAAGAGGATATAACGCTGGGATTAGCATGCATACATATGATGCTCGCTTTTTAAAAGGAGGAAGAGGTGGATGTTTTTTGCAGCGTGCAGAAATGCCTGCTCTCACCGCTCCGTGATGTAATTGGCTGTGATACCCGTGTTTTCCCAGCAAAGCTCACTAAAGCGGAAAAATGGCAATACTTTAAATGCAATTATTATCTAAATCCCTGTTTTTTTTCACCAGGTCAGGTCTGTTGTAGTATGGAAGAGGATTAGGGCCACTGAAAAAAATAAAAAAGTTAAGTGAATTTAAATTTTATTTCAGTATAATATAAGAAAAAAGTCAGAATTCTTAGACTTAGACAGATTTATTTTGTCATTTTGTATACAATAGTACAAACAAAAAGAAATTTCGTTAAGAAATGCTCTCTAGGCAATGTGTGCAGTCTTGAAAATAGTTTAAAAAATACATAAAAACGGTAATACAAACATATTACTGTATATTTACAGTTCTAACATTTCAGTTTATCATAAAATATACTAAAAATATAATAAAATACAATAAAATACCCCACTTTAAATAACATTCAGCATGAATGTTATTTTAATGTTATATGTATGTTAAATATTAATCTCAGACTAAAATCTCAGAATTCTGACTTTTTTCTAAAAATTCTGACTTATTTCTCAACATTCTGACTTTAATCTCAGAATTCTGACTTTAATCTCAGAATTCTGACTTTAATCTCAGAATTCTGACTTTAAACTCAAAATTCTTACTTTTTTTCTTTAAATTCTAACTTTTTTTCTCAACATTCTGACTTTAGTCTCAGAATTCAGACTTATTTTCTCAACTTTCTGAGTGACTTTAACCTCATAATTCTGGCTGAATTCTGACTAATCTCAAAGTTAGCTTCAAGCCGTAGCCATGTCTGTTTTAGAGACTAAACTAGCTCTCTTGTTTTAATCACCTTCTTCTTTTCCATTAAGGAAATGGCAGCACCAGGGACCCCTTGGGCAGGTAAAGTTACCTAATTCCATAATTTTCCAAAAAAAAAAGTCAGAATTCTGACTTTTTTCCCCCCATATTAAACTGAAATAATATTTATTATGAAATAATATTTATAAATATAAACTTCATTTTTTCATTGGCCCTAATCCTCTTTCATAGAGAAAGAATGACTGAAAAAAGTTCTTCACAGTGTTATTGTTGTCAAAAGTGTGTTTTATAGTGTACAGATATACCCCTTTATTCTGATACCCCTGAAATGCAATAAACAAAAATCTAATGAGAAGGCGCCAGTCAGCTTAAATCCAACAATCTCACATAGCTCACAAAACTGAACATTGACCAATTATTCAAATACCCGGCGGGCCCGGTACGGGGTCCAACTGACACCTACTGTCAAAATTTGGTTGAAGGTTTTTGTGAGGACCCAAATGCAGAGGCTGAGAGAAGGGGATGAGTTCTTTGAAGATTTAACTGGATAACACAGGTAGCAAAAACAGGAATCCAGAAATCCAACATAAAAATTAAACACAAACCAGAACCGTGGAGACATCACGGGGAAACAATCACAAGGAGCCAGGGTGAGACAAAGTAAGATGATGAACCAGCACTGAGAGACTGCACAGGGAGTGTATTTATGGCTGACTGAACAAAGACAGGACTAACGAGCTGATAAGGAGCAGGTGTTAGTAGAGCTGGCGAGGAACCCAAAGGAAAAGAAAACACAACGGGGCAACAGACGACAAGCAATGAAAAACCTAAGAAACTAAAATAAATCCAGAACACACCAATAAAGCTAGAAAACAAAAAAAACACCTAGATAAACTTGAAACTGAAAACATAAGAGAAAACCAACAGAACCAAGACCGTTACGGCTACACATGTTTATCTATTTATAGAAGTGGCAAAAAACACAGTCACATGGTGTTTCATCCACATGCCTTTCAAATGGGGCTTTAAAATTTCTAAAACATGTTTTTAAAAGAACTTTTTCAGAAATACTTTTTGTTTTATAGCTGTGTAAACAAATAAAATGAGATTTAAAATTCCACCTGGCATATGTGACTCTGCGGGAATAATGCAACAGCAGGTATTCATTTTTAGCCACACCCCCTAATGACCAGGATCATTGGAAACTAGAGGTTCTGACCTTTCCAACGAGGCATCCAAGATAATTATGCAACCATTTCAGGTGATGTAACCGGCATGAGTTACATAAGCTTGCTCTGTTATCTTATTTTATTAAGTTTAGTGATATTAGTATTAAATTTCAATGAAACAATGGCTAAATCGTAGGAGCAAAGGCTTTGTCTTATACAGCAGGTCTCCAATAACGTAAATCAGCATATTTGTCTGACCAAATTCCCTTTAAAGAGCAGAAAAATGCCTTTTTGCACTTTTGGCATTGTGCGAAAATCCCATTTTCGCCTAGCACACTGCCCAATGAAAACCATTGTAGAACAAACACGCTTCAACTTATTCAGTCCAAATTTGCTTGACTTATATTCAAGATGTTGATCTGTAAAGTGTGAGGGTTCATCCACAGTGTTTTGCAGTTTTTATTTTCTGGAAAGAAATTTGGCGAGGCTAAATATTTTTCATTTTTTCTTTGTTTAATCACCCATAAATCAGACATGGTGACATTTAAAATAGCGGTTCCACCTGAAAAATATTCCTCAATACCTTTCTGTCACACAAATACAAACAATTGTATTTCCAATAAATAGTTTGGGAGCTGTACTTTCTTTAATCCACATATCTAATTTCAGGCAACATTTGCTCCTAAGACCCTCAGGGCTCAAGGGGCTAAGCTGACCAGGAGGACAGAGACACTAGGACTACAGTAGGCATCCATTAAAAGTTAAAGAATTGAATAAATTTAAGTTCTAACGCTTTGTTAAATTCTAAAGCCTGTTTTTTCAATTTGTTTTAATCTCACAATGAATTATTGGTACTAAAAACATTGTTTTTGCTGTTACAAAAATTAAAAACTGTGTAGTCAGGCAGCGTGTTGTTACTAGAATCATTCATAAACCAATTGATAAAGCATTGCTCGATAATGGCAACTTTAAAGGGTAAAATGCTTTTTTTGCCCTAAATGCCAGGATTTCTTTTGAGTGTAATGATGGCTAAACTATTTATTCTAAATTCTGTGCTGCCCCCATATCGTGGTTCCTTTTTGGCTCCTTGCAAAATATGTCCATTCCTATTCGTTTCGAACTTTGATGAAAGAGTAAAGGGTGCAAAGTTCCAGTGCTTTTCCATAATTTATATGCAAATAAGGCAGAAAATGTTTCTAAAAGCAATATCTGTGTAATTAGAGTTTAATTTGGACAACTTTTAGTGTAACCAGCGGTTGAGCTGAAATGAGCTGGACACAACCCTACAGAGGAAGACTAGATGTCAGTATTTAATACTGTCAGTTTAGCAGCCCGCTACGCTAAAAAATGCTAGCAAGAATCCTGACTTTATCTTTGGTTATAAGAATCAATCCCTAGGAAGTAATATAAAAACTGATTTATAATAGGACAATCATTCATTTTTAACATAGGCTTCAATGAGAGCATTCAAAGAGGTTGTTTAAAGGATTCATGGCGACTAGCGGAGCTGCAGAAATAGAGCATTGAAAGTAGGCCTGAGCGTACGCCAAAAAAAGTTTGAATTTCCAAGCCGTGCATGGAAAAGATTTGAACATTTTGCCCTACATGTAAAATGTTGTTTACACCAGAAAACGAATGCTACGCAGTAAAACATAATAGCAACAGACTCCTCAACATAAAACCAACGGGCTTCTCAACTCTTTAAGCTGAAGCTAGCAGCACTACTGGGCTTAAGCTAGCTTGTATGGAAACAGCGAATACAAGAAAAACGTTGGGTCAAATTGTGTTAAATCTGTATTCAGGCTTTTACAGCAGTGATAAGATATTAAGCTAATTACATTTATTTTCTCTAATGTTGCGCGATACGTTTACTGTTCAGTTAGGTTCTTTGTAGCTTCCTAGTATGGAGTGAATTTTGTTCCACTTTTAAAGCAATTACACATTTTGTAAATGGGATTTTAAAAATAGGCACTCTAGAAAGGAAAATCTGAAAACCTTCTTAATAGAAAAAAGGATTTCAGAGTGACTGCTTTTTTTTTTATCTCAGATTTTATTTTTCTTAAACAATTATTTTGTTGAAATGGTTTTTCAAATTATGTTTTTTCAAGCTAAATCTTTTAAAGTTCTTTACAGATATATTATTTATTTTACCAACCCATTCTCTTCATTTACATCCTCATACAATCATTCGCTATTGATCCATAAAATGTTGTTGCTAACATCCAGTGGACCAACAGAATGCATTTTTGCGCCTCCTTCCAGAGGAAAACCCAACCCCAGAAGTATGTGATTTGAAAAAAAGTAATTTGAGAATAATGAAATTTATAAAATTGAATATGTTAATGAAATGAAAAAAATTAAAATATAAAATTTGTAAAAAGAATTTGAAATAAAGGTTTGAGTCCCTCCCTTGTGACCTTTGCCTGCCTGTCTAAAAAAAATACAAAAAATAAGGCAACAACATCCTAAAAGGTAATCATAAAACCCTTTTTTTATTAAGAAGTTTTCCAAATATGAATGTTCAAAATGCACTTTTCCAAGCACCTCTTGTGAGTTTTTTTAATATTGTTATTTTCTTGTGTTCGTTTGCAGCAATAATAGAGCCGATTTCAATCCATAACCCAGTGTTTTAACAAATAAATAGATAAATAAAATAATGTAATTACAAATAGATGCAAATATAGCTTTTTAATCAAGGATTTATGAAGGTTTTAACTTCTTATTTTCAAACCTCCTTTAAAAGGTTGCAGTTTTGCCATGCTAGCATTTAAAGGTGCTAGGAAAGAAAACTCTTAATATTAACCCTTTGTTTTCATTCTTACATGTTCCACATTCATTTATTTTTTATCACATAGGCTTAACTGGGGTGAAAATAAGCTATTTAATTAAAGAAAAAATGAAATCCCCTGCATTAATAAGCAGAAATGTTCAAAATAAAGAGAATATCCATTTCTGCATATCTTTCAGATTTAATACTTGCTTCAGATTCATAAATTAACTGAATTCACATTAAGACCTGACACAAGACCATCTTCAACATTAGCATTGATTGAAACTAGTAAAGATTTTCACTGACTTTGCTCTGTTTCCTATAATGCCTGCTTTTAGTGAAGAAGAGACATTTATATAAACCCATAAAGTAGATCTCCATCAATCCAGCAATCTATCTAGTCTTTAAATGATGCAATAAAAAGGAGTTTAATGAGTCTCATTTTTCTGCATGATCTAATGTTTCATCTTAACAATGTAAAATCAACCATTTTACATTTCTGTTGCTACCTGCAAGAGACTCTGGAACTCCTCCTCCCAGGGCTCTTCCTTTAACCCTGAAGGCTCCAGGACGGCATAGGGCATGGGCTTCAAGCCGCTCCCAGAAAGGTCCCGGCTCAGCTGGTACAGGACGTCGCTGTGGATGGACGATGATTCGCTGAGCACCGTGGACACCTGGTTGAACCAGGCACCATTCGGCCATGGATCTGGAAGACATTTTATTCCAAAAAGAAAGCAGTTTATGCATAAAACCAGGGTTCTGGTGAGAATCTGCAACATTAAATCTGCTTGTAGGATCAAACATTTGTGGATATATAAAAAAAAAAGTGTATGAATAAAAAAAAACACAAAAAAACAAGTCAGAGCCTTTAAAAAAAAAAGGTGCTCTGATTTTGCTGCATTTTGCTTATCTTTTACTTTCCATAAAACTTAATTTATTCCCTCTTTGTCTCCTAATGTTATACAGGGATTGTGATTTTCCCGGCTGTGAAAATTTCCCTCTCATTTACAGTCTGGTCCTAGTGTTTGTTTAAAACAGACATGGAAGAATCAGAGACTAAACCGGAGGATTTACGCAAAAATATATGTGGTAGCAAACAGAAAAATTATTAATAAACATATCAAAAATACAAAAAAAATTGCAAATAATTCATCAAATGATTCATGCATAAAATAATTACTTTGAAAGTAAGAGCAAAACTGGCAAATAACAGTCATAACAGCAACCTGGAGGGACAATAGAGATCAATGACCATAGATCCAGTATAGTTTTTTACTTTAATTATTTATTTTAAGTGTTCTTTTGTGTGGCAGCATAAAATCAACTTTTTTAAAAATAAGAATGAACCCAAGATGGCAATAATTGTCGACTTTCAAAATATTCTTACAATCAATCAATCATCAATCAAAGTTTTTTTATATAGCACTTTACAACAACACCAGGAAGACCTAAGTGCTTCACACAAAGATAGAAACATTGTAAAAAACAAAAACCCTAAGCATAAAACAGTGTGTTCTAAGTTTTCATAAACATCCCATCACCAATTTTTAATAAATGTTCTTAGAGGTAATGCCTGTTGTCTGTAAAAACGGTCTGACTAATGTTTTCAGGATATCTGACTTTGTCCGAATCATTACAGCTTCTTTATCCAATCTTATTAGCTGTGATGTGTGTTTAGGATCAGTTGGGATGATTAGTCACCCCCCTTTGGATAAAAGAAATTTGGTTAGGACGGAGGTCTTCAACAGGGGTCCGTGACCCCTAGGGGGTCCATGGAGGTACTGCATGGGGGGTCGCGAAAATTTTGGTTGATTAGACTTTTTTTATGTTCGCCCCTGCAATTTTTCCACTAATTGAAATGTCTTTAAATACACATTAACATGAATCCAACACAGTGTACTAAACAGATAAATGGGGGCAGAAGATGTCTTTCAGTCATCAATGCACACATTCAGTGACACACAGGAGCGCTTTCAAGCTGGGCACCGTTTCATTCACAACACCTGTCCCATCAAAGAGGAATCAGAATCAGAAATACTTTAATAACATAACAGGGAGAAACTACTTTAATTACATGACTCCATCTGTAATAGATTGACTATACCGTAGGACCAGTTTGATAAAACACAATTTTATACTATATATAATTAGGGGGTCCCTGCTCCATCTCGCCATCAGTAGCAAATAGCAAATTCACAAGTACCAATTACAAATGTATGACTACGAACCATAAATTTATGAATATGAGTGACTTACAAATACAAATCATAAATAACAGTACAAATCTATTTCTAGAATTTTACTAGTATCGATCGCAAATGTACTGGTAGAAATCACAAATTTACAAATACGAATTACAGATTTAGGAATAAGAATCACACATTTACTAGTAGGAATCACAAATTCAGAGGTACATATAACTACTATTAACTTACAGATTACAATTTACAGGTATGAATCACAAATTTATGAGTGGGAATCACAAATGTACAAGTACGAATAACAAAAGAACACGTACGAATCAGAAATTGAATTCGCAAATTGACAACATGTGGAAGAATGGCGGGGGGGGGGGGTTAAAATAAGTTCTTGGTTAAGATTTCACTGTCTGTAAGGCAAGGCAGAGAGAAACAGTAGATTTGTTGCTGAGTGTTCAGAACCGCCTCTTCTCCTCCTCCCCTTGCACTCAAGAATCTTAAGTGCAGCGGCAACAGAAACAGATATTTCTCCGTCTTTTACTGATTGCCATGCTGTCAGGAACAGATTGCTATTTTTCCCTCCCTTTTTGTAATAAGGTTACTGTGTTTGTGTGCTTGTGTGTGTGTGTGGTTATTTTAGGGATACAGACAGCTGTAGCCATAGTAACGCAACAGGCCATGAGCAGTGCTCTCATTTCAGCACCACGGACAGCTCTCTCCATCTCTTTTCTGTATTTGTGTTTGAATTATTCAAATCCATTTGTTGTCCCCCTTCTCATCTCTCCCCCCTGACTCTTACAGTTCTGCGCGACCGCGAAGCTCGCCGGCAGAAGGTCAAGAGCTGTTCACGCGTTTCTAAAACTCAGGCCCAGAAAAAAGAAGCATTTAACGGCAACAGTTGTTGCTGCTGTCGCTCCATTACTGGGAGGTCGCCAGGTTGCATCTAGCAGGAAGAGGAATGATTGAGATAATCCCTTAAGTATAAATATTAAGCAGGGCAACAGTAAAATTGGACTTTCACTTGAAAAAGGAAGAAAAGGTTGCATGACCTGTAGCTACAAAATAAAATTTTACATCAAATTTTCATCTAAACCCTTTTTTTTAACTAACTATGAGAAAATTATGCTGTCTATATTTCCACTTGATGGTGATGGTAGAGACAAAGGCCGTCTTCCAGGGAGCAGATAATGGGCAGTAGCAGCAGCGGCGGCATGGCACACAGCCTTAATGCTGATGCTTTTATCACATGCTGTCTCATTGATTGTACAGAAACTTGGGCCAGAAGCCCGTCTTCTTTAGTTTCATGTCATTAACTGCTGAGGAGAGAAACCGCTAATGTCCTACAGCTGCTAAGACATCTTAATCTGCCCACTGTGGTCAAAGCTTTAATAAAGAATTGAGAACTAAAAGCATTTGTGAGTCATTTATTTAATGTCACTGTAACTTAGAAGTTGTTCACCTTCTTTTTCCGTCTTAGTTTAATTACCTTTAAATACTGGCACACTGATTACAGGTGTCAGTCTTAATGATTTAGAAACACATTGAACAGCAAATAAACAGGCCTTTGACTGTTGAAGTTAAACTGTTACTGTAGAAGAGTTATTAGTTTAAGGTTGGGGTCCAACTGGTTTAGTTGCTTTACTACCTAAGTTTCGGGAAATTTCTCAGCATTAAGCTACTGAAGTAGACGTTGATTTGGTAGATTAGGTTCTAAACTAAAATGAAGACTGGATTCTTTTACAAGTAGGTGAAAGATTAAATTCACTAATTTCCCAACCCATCAACTGTATCTCCTGTCAACAATTCAGACATTTTGGTTCTCAAAAGATCCTTTTCCTGCTTCCTTCCTCCCATCAGTTTTCTAAGCATGACTTGAACAACATTTCATTTGGTTTCCTTTACGCTGAATTATTAATTGGGATCAAATCAGTGAGAAGCAGGTACTTTAAAGTATTGATTATGAGTCAGCTGTCTGTGAGCTACGCAATAGAGAATTAAGCTTTAGACCTTAAAAGCACCTGATGTATTAACTGTTGATTGAAAAAAACTCTGTGAAAACTTAAAGCTTTTCTGGGACCACTTCACTTCTCCTGAGGCCAAAAAGACAGAAAGACAAAAAGAAAGAATGAAAGAAAGAAACAAACAAAGAATGAAAGGAACAAAGAAAGAATGAAAGAAACAAAGAAAGAATGAAAGAAACAAAAAAGAAGGAAACCAAAACCCTGTATATTTGGGCCATCAAAGACATTCTGAGAACTGATTTATTCCCCAAATCAAGCAAATCTAGCTCTTAATGATCCAGTGAAACCCAACTGTACACCCCAGTTGGTCTGCTGCCACCCTCCAGTTTACACCTATTGTTGGGTGGAGGTACAGGAAGTGACAGACAGGATGGCCACACAATGGAGAGTCACTCACCTGCACAGTTAGACGAGGGCGATCGGCGGAGAGCCATGCCTCCTCGGCTCTAAATGACTCCTGGTTCCCTGGGAGCACCTGGTCAGTCGGGCATTGGTTGAAGGAACGACAGCAACTACCTGAATCTGTACAACAATCAGCTCAGTAGAAGCAGAACTATTCCAGGATAACCGTCTTTTCCAAGCAGTTAGTAAGGTCGCCTCTGCTTACTCTGCGTACTTGCTTATTTGCACTGCAGGCTCAGGGGTAGAAGAGCAGGGTGGCTGATTGGGTGCTTGGCTGGGGAATTACAGCCTACTGAGTGGAGCAGAGATTATTGGGCCTTCTAACTTGCATTAATTATTCTACCTTCTGTTTAGGCTTAGCGGCAAACCTGCAAGGTCTTAAAGGTCAGCTCTCTGGTCCTTAAGACAAGGGAAGAGCCATCATGACGCAGATTAGAAATGATGAGGCATTTCTCCAGAAAACAGGAGATTAGGGTGAAACAAATTTACCAGGATCAGGTCAAAATGCCCAGACTTTGAAAGAGAATAATAATCATTTGTTCCTTAGTCTAGATTTTTTTTTTTTTTTTAAGTGTCCTGTCTGGCAATGTGGCAACATTAATACATTTCTTGAAGCCAAAAAGAGAGCCCAACAGATTTTGCTTTCACAAGTGGAGCGGTAAGGCTGTCGCCATAGTGTTCCACTTGATTTATGCATTTATACAGCTTTCTTATCATTTATGCAGGGAGTATTACAGATTTAATGGACACTGCAATGTAAATAGAACAGGAAAGGGGGGAAAAAAGGAGAACAGATCAAACAAAGAGGAGATAAAAGGGGAGAAAACAGGGAGAACAATAAAATATCCTCACTCTGCTTCATCACCTGCAAAGAGATGTAAAAGAACAGCACAACCAACAGATATAGTATAAGAGATATAATAAAGAAGTACCTTGATACTATCGATGAAGTATAAGTAGTATTATTTAATCTGACATGTATACTGTTGTAGCTGAAGATAAGAATATGGGCTTCCTGTATGGAAGTGAATCTCTAAGTACCTGGAGTCAAGCACCTGTAGTTGTTTGTGAGAGTGTACTTGTGCATGTAACGTTTATCCAATTAAAAAATGCTTAATAGTGGTTATGAGGAGCCAAAGACGCGCCCCTTCATAGCACCAACGCGAGCGCTGGGGGACCCAAAGCCCCAGACGCCCAAAGGGATCCCAAGAGCAAAGGCGCCCAGGAGTCTAGAAATATTGACTCATTTAAAAAATCTAAACACGTGTGCAACACCACCGACTGTGAAGTGGATGAGAGTTTCAAAAATATGTTTGAAAGTAAACGTTTGTGTTTTATGGATGCATCTTCCTGCAGGCAGCTGCTCAGAGAAGATAGATGTGGGAAGAGGATTTGTAGCCATACAGAATAGAGCAATAGTCCTATTTTAAGGCACTAAAAAGTGTTTTAAATTAAACCCAAATACATAAACAGTTGATTTCAGTTCATTCAAATCACATCCTGGTTGTGGCTAACAATATTGGCAAATCTAAAGCTTTTTTTTCCCGTTGGGAGTTGAATTCTGAGTTCATATCTGTCATTATCTGATCATTTTATAACACATGGCTGAACATAAAAGGAAAAATGCTTCCCAGCAGTTGCAAACTGATTCATATAAGGTTAGCTTAGCTCATATGAAGCTCCAAATTTAACTTACATTTTTTCGAGCAAATTTCTACTGCTGTCAGAAAACAATAATGACTGAGTTAAAATAAATAATTTAATAATTACTTAAATTAAGTAGAACAGCTATTAGCCTGAATATGCTTTGCTAAGGTTACTAGCAATCACTGATCTCTATTTATTCACTGCATTGCTTATAGGCTGAAAAAACTGAAGTCACCTGCTGCCATCTTGGTACTCCCCACTCTCACGGAGCCATTAAAAATTTCTCTAACGTAATGTAATTATCAAAACAACGTATTCAGTGACTCAGTTCATCCAGAAGGTTTTCTATAAACTTGGTTAAAGGACTTGCTGTCGGCCGACCATCGTCCACCTTCAGCCATGGAAGTGAATGCCACACCCAGACAACAAGTATTACATGTATCTGTGTCTCTCTGGTGTCTTTTTATTTAAAAAAAAGTTATTTATAAAGGGTAGCATACTAAAAATTGTTACTGAAATAAGAACAGAAATATGTCCTAATCACAGAGGTGTCAAGTAACAAAGTACAAATACTTTGTTAACGTACTTAAGTACACTTTTAGGTATCTATACTTTGCTCCATTACTTATTTTTCTTCCTACTTCTGACTTCTACTCATTACATTTTCACACAAGTACCTGTACTTTCTATTTCTAACATTTTTAAAACAATCTTTACTCGCTACTCTTGGCTTCGGTTTTATGTTTAGAAAACTCATTGGTTAGCTATTCTTCAAATTTATGCTGACGCTAAAGGAAATCATCAAGAGAAAGTAGGTGTTCAAACAGCAAACGTGAATTGCCTCTGCCATGCCGCAATTTTGGAAAAAGATGTCAAAGGTTGGACACAGGTGAGATGGAGACAGAGACCAACAAGATCCTTGGCCCTTTCTCAAAGAATTTTTCGAAACATTCGGAAAATAGAGCTTTCAATTCATTTAGTGGTCTCTGGCTGTTTTTTTAAAAGGTTACTTTATACTTTAACACTTTAAGTAGTTTTTGGAGCGCATACTTTTTGATTTTTCCTTGAGTACAGGTCAAGTTGATCATTCAACTGTTACCAGAGTGTTTTTAAACTGCAGTATCTATACTTCTACTAAAGTAACAAATGTGTGCACTTTTGACACCACTGAATATAAATATTAAGCAAAAGTAAAAAGTGCAGAGCAGTAAAACTCCTCGTAAAAGTAGATTTTGTTTAAAAAGTTACTAAATAAATGAATGTTTAACTGGTAACTACCCACCTAGGTAGAGAGTTTAATCAATTAATCATGGACTGAACCGGATCACTTTGCCTCCATGTTGCTGAAGATGCAGTCACGGTCACAGATCATGTTAAGCATGCCTAACCAGAGCTCACTCTGACCTGAACGTTGCGATTTTCTATTAAAAAAATCATTTTCATTTATTCAAGATGGGCGTTTTATCTTAATCTTAATGCAACTGTTCGAGAATCCTTCCCTGTTTTCTTTCATTCCTCTGCAGCTGGGAAGGTTATAAAGATAATCCTTTAAAATCCAAATATACGCTTTTAATGGTGCAGAAGAAGAGTTTCTTTTCAGCATCTCCTGGTGCATAAAGGAAAATACCACTATCAGAAAATCTGAGCCCGACACAGATCAGCTGTTTAATAGTCAGTAGGCTCTGGCTTTGAACAGTGCGGTGCTGAATTGGGATTTTTAAGGAGGGAAAAACGTAGCTTATTTTTTTATGATTTTACTTTGTAAATAAAGACCTAAATTATGTTTTTACATTCTTAAAAATAGCACACATACTAAACTATAATGAATAAAATTTTAATTATGCATTTCCTGAGACAATTAATGCATCAAAATCCTTTCTGTTTTATCACTTGTGCACCGGAAATGGGATCTTACGCTACTTCCGGGAGCTAACTTTTTCAGATTTGGATTTAAAAGTAATTCTACCCTTTTTTATTTTTATTTTTTTCTTTCATGTTAACATTATGGTATACAGTGTGTAATCTAAATATTTGCCGGACTGCTCTGTGCATAAGCGATGATGATGTCAGAGAAGCAGTTTAACAGAGAAAATGTAAAAAGCATCAAAATTGTCTCAGAAAAGTCATAGAAAATGTTTCAAGGATGTGTATTAGCATTCTTTAGTGATTTAAGTTTAGAAAAAGGTGATTTTAGGAACATGATTACCATATTTATTGCAACCCGGATGCATATCTGGAGGCCAATGTACAAATGATGGTACGGATCGTGCTTCCGGTATGAATCGGGTAGGGACACGCATTCAGCAAAAACAGCAATGAGTAAACATTTTCAGTTTGAAATTATTGACAATGTAGAAACCTCAAGAGTTAACGAAGGTGAGGAGGACCAAATGCAGGAAGAGTTACAGTTAACTGACCGTTCAGACAGATGATCACTACTTTTTGCTCCCTGTTGTTCACGTAACTCCACCTCCCCTCACGTTGCATGTGCCATCTGTGTTATTTTTCACCTCTATCACATCAAATCCCATGATGCTTTGCTTGGAGAGCTCTCACAAAGCGATCTGGGATATATCTTCTGATCTAGTGTCTGTCACTACCCGATCCGCCCAGGAAGCCCGATCCGTCCTGCTCATGCGCCATCAGCTCATTTGCGCATGCAGATATACATCTGGGTCGCCCTCGATTTTATTTTGTTAAAAAGACCTAAATGACGTTTTCCCTCCCCAAAAATAGTAAGCGTACTAAAATGTAATGTGTTAATGGATAATAATATATTTCCTTAGAAAATAAATGCCTTTCTGTTTTATCACTTGTCTCTGCTCAATCTGCACTGGAAATGGGATCCAACGCTACTTCTAGTGGCTAACATTTTAGGCTTTGGATTTAAACATAAATCTAGTCTTTTAAAAATTTATGTTTTCCTTTCTTGTTAAAATTATGGTATACAGTGCATGATCTAAAGAAAGAAACAGCTAAAATGCAGATAAACATGGTTTAATCAAATTTTGCAGGCTGCTCGGAGCAGGTCCCATGATGACGTCAGAGAAGCAGTTTAAAGTAATTTTAAGTAATTTTAGTACCATAATTACATTATTAATGTAAACACGGATGTATATGTGTTCATGCATGCGCAGGACGGATCATGCTTCCGGGACGGATCGGGTATTGACAGTCACCATGGATCACTACTTTTCAAGGTGCATTGTGGGAAATTTCGAGTCCACTACTTTTTCATCCACTAGACATTCAGACACTCATTTAAAACTCATTTAACATTTTTTTTCTGATATATTAGAGTGATGTGTCAAAAGAATAAAATAAAATGATGCCTCACTTTACTTTAAATATTCGTTATCTTTAGATTGTTTTTTTATTTTTTATTTGACATTAGCTTCTCCTAATGGTGTAGCTTTAGCTAATATAATAAACAGATCAAAAGCGGTTACATTTTTCTGTTTCGACACATATCTCATGCAATGGATCATTTGAGGCAGCGACCCAGTGTGGCATAAATAACACCAAACACAATAAGATAAAAAGGCAACTCTGCTAATGTTAGCCTTCCTGTGTTTACTCTGTAGGTTTCCACTC